TTGGTTTACTTATGTCAGTTGAAAACGACTCGGGAAGTATGCTATTCAACGGGGAAAACTAATGTGAATTAGGGGCCGATTTCTCCGACGTTGACTCCTAGCTAGCAAAACACATCCTCTTTAAATCCTGTCTTCTGATAACTTCATTAGAAAACAAAAATAACAGTTCCCGGCCCACACTTGTCCCAGACGAAAATATTTTGGCTGAGACTGATCATAGATAGATAGACGTGTTGCACCTGAATCTTTCATGTTCTGTTAAACGCTCATTCTTGCATTCTGTCATATAGGATATAAATGGATTTGATCTTCTGTTTATGCATATAAGCAGAGTTAGCATTAGGTCATTTGCTAAATGTACCTTCATGTAGTAAACCTTCTATTTCATTACTTACTTACGAGTTTGACCTCCTTATTTATATCTCTCTGTTATCTCGAAAACACGAGATACAAGACATTTCCAGCTCTTTTAATGAGCATAATCGTATATTGCTACCTATATTCGCCCTTAACAGATTTCTTCTGGTTGAAATATATTATTCTCTTAGTAGCTATTATAAATATCAAATCATTAGGTGTATAGTATTTCCCAGGGCAATATAGGTTCCTTCTCTTTAGAATCGATTTATTTCAACTTGCCACGTTTCCAGATAACGTAGAACGTAGAACGTATACACTCTACTGTTGTTTTCCATTATAGAATTCGCCAAATTTTATGATAATACAAATTTAAGTTAAAATGTTAAATGTAAAACTTGTGTTAAAGATCTTAACCCACATTTCATTAAAATAAAGAACTGAAAACTTGAATAAGATTTTTCCTCAAACAATGTACTGAGATTCTGAATATATTTTACAAGTAATTGCATACCTTCTACCAAAGAAACCGTTCTTTTATTAAATTTTAAGAGCAGCCAGTACCCACATTGTTATTGTCATTTATCGTTGATGTTTTAAATCTTGATAATCAAAAAATGAATCACCGAAAATTGTAGCTTAACCATTTTATTAACTTTTTATTTAGATTTACTTAAGTTAACTGGCAAAGAAACATAAAAGATAACGTAAGAATTAAAGATATTCTTTCTTGTTGCTTTTATTACAAATATCCACAGATATTCTCTCTTGCCGGGCGCTGTAATGCTTATCAACATGGGGAATGCAATCGAATTTCGTCTGTCTCTAAAACGTTCGGAGAAGGCATAACTCCATTTCTCCCTATCAATTTCCAGATGTATTAGTGTATTACGTATATGTGATTTCGTAATGCTTAATGGAGGAGATTATTGGCGTGTGAGTGCTTTAGCTAAAGATATACCCATAGCTATCAACCATGCAATAAGAAAACTTCAATCTTCCATGAATCTCGTACATTCATAACTGCTCTGGCGTATCAAATGTAAACAAATGGCGTCATATATTAAGAAATGGACAAAGTCCGACAATTTATTTATTAAAGACATTTTTATGTTTAACGTTCTTTTTTATAGATACAAGTATTTAAGTAAATGCTCTGTTTATAATAAACAGTATTAAATAACATTGGAAGAGTGTAGTTTATAAGCAGTAAATTTGACCTTGCCTACCGAACGCTCCTTTGTGGCCGAGACTGTAAGGCACGTCAGCGTAAATAACGGTTCCGTATAGGATGCAGGTTCGAACCCTGTCAAAGGACGAATATTTTCTATGAAAATTTCTCGGACATTCAGGCCGGTAAATGTTATTTAATACTGTTTATTATAAACAGAGCATTTACTTAAATACTTGTATCTATAAAAAAGAACGTTAAACATAAAAATGTCTTTAATAAATATATATATATATATATATATATATATAATATTAGTGGTAAATATACACCTATTCTTCTGATCTTTAAGATTAGATCGTCTGTTGTGTGTGTATGCCACCACGAAATGTATCCTTTCCGGTTACATCTTTAATGTATTAGACATCCGACAACATTTATATTTCTCTCACTTAAACTGTCTTCAACTCACCTCTCTAAAACTTCTCTCTGTTAAGTTTTAATCTCCCACCTTCTCTCGTCTGTTACCTCTCTCTTTAGCTCTAACATTCGTCCCACACTCTCATACTTACACTATCTCTAAATTCTATTTTTATTCCCGGAGTCGTTTTTTTCTGTTTTCTTTTTGAATTTGTAGGTCTGATGAATTGGATCGTATTTACGATTCCAATGGAATAAATTATGACCATGCAATATTAGTGTTTAAGCCTTTTTATTATATATATATATATATATATATATATATATATATATATATATATATATATATATATATACGATAATAGACTGGATATAAATTTCGGGTTTGCAGAGTTGTTGTCCTTGCCATACTTTTTGTACGGCTCAGAGTCGTGGACTACCATATACGCTGGCTGGATGTTTTCGAGAAGACCTGAAGAGTAACTTGTCAGCTGTCAATATTCCTCATAACGCCCTCGAGCACTTAGCCTTGGTAGCGGTAGAGTGGATATCGACGTTTTAGCGGTTTTCAGTCTTCTAACCTGAATCGTCTTTAAGAAGCGAGAGCAAGATCTAAAAGGTCAGCCAGTCTAACAGTGAGCTCATCCCACAATCCTCAATCTTGCTCGATATACAGCCTCCTTTGAAAATCTCTTGCGAGTCTTAAGTGCCATCTAAGATTATCGCATAAAATTTATAACTGAATCAATTGGTTAATTTGTCAGATCCTCATACGTCGTAACCGGAGAGTCCATTATATATATATATATATATATATATATATATATATATATATATATATATATATATATATGTGTACTATTAGTAGTAGTAGTAGAAGTCCGCATATTCGAACATCAAAGTACTTCGGATATTAGGATATAATGTGGTATGTGTAATACAACTATAACTTAACAAAATACAAGAACTTATCGCAATAGATGTGAAATGAAGTCTCACGAAAGTAAATATTAATTTGTAATCTTTAATGGTCAATAAGTTATGATTTCAATTATCCTTCTTATTTTTATTCTCATTTCGCTTACTTATTGCAGTTTTAATCTTTTTTTTAAGTAGGGCATTTCTGTAAATGACGTGCACTTGTATATTCTGTACAACTGAACAAAGATGTTTTCACCAGGAATTTGATAACGTCATCAATAGCATTTTTTCTACTGATTCCAAGTTCTCATCATCTTTCATATTTTCACCATTATCGGAAGAATTTGATTCACCTTTAATTTTTTGACAATACAAATGATTTTAATGCGATTCTACCATTGAATTCGTTTCTAATTCCTTAGCGTCTTCATTTACCAATTCTTTTAAGTCATCCGAAGTTAGAGGATTCAGTGGATCATCTTCAAGCGTAACTTTTAGCGTCTCATTCTGATTCTGCAATCCTTGTTTCTTAATTTGAAAATTCAACGAATTAGGCGTTTCGTCCAGTTTTTCAATAATCTGTAAATTCTGATGTAACGTGAAAGAATTTCTTTTCCTTTTCCTTCCACTTGAAGTTTCTTTTTTACGAGACATAATGGATTCAGAAATTTCAAGTTACTAACAATTATTTGCAAAGAAAAGAATAACATTAGAATGTAGCATATTCGTAAAACATCTAACATCTTTAATAACAATTCTGTTAATTGAGCTCTATGATCTCGACTGAGGTCGATTAAAAAAATGGTAGCAAAGATTTGATTGCACGCTTACCAGTGTTAAGTCATTATTTTTGGCAATGTTTTGCCAGAATTCTGTGTCGTCCAATTTTCTAAATATTTTATAAAAATGCTATATTAAGATATTTTTTAAGTGAAATTCTATGAAGCTGTAAAAAGTGAATGTGTTAAATAAAGAAAGAGCTACATAAATGATGTTGAAAAAAATCTAATATTCCCTTATACCATTTGCTTCTTTTTTTCTTCCTCTCTGTTTGATTTCCTCCTTCCGCACGTTGGCGATCATGGCTCTCCACAATTTCCCATCTTTTGTTGTTTTTAATACAATGCGACTTTTCGTCATCTTTTCTTAAGCTTGTTCCGCCATCTATTTACTAAATATGTTATGCGTTTTTTTCTTCTGTCCATCTTCCATCTGCCCTGCAATTATCATATTTTCTAAGCCTTCTTTCCTTCCATCTGCCGTGTAAGCATCCGATTTTCCATGACCTCATTCCTGATTATGTGCCCTAGAAATTTCAACTGTCTCTTTTTGATATTAAGCAAAAGGGTTCTTTTTGCTTGCTTTTTATGTAAAACATCGCCGTTGCTCAAATGTTCCATCCATGGTCAGCTCATCACACTTTTGTGGAACTACATTTCTGTTGTTTCAAGTTTCTTCTTCATCTGTGAGGAGATTGCCCAACATTTACTGCCATATGATAGGACCAATATTACTTTATAGTTTTGTACTCTTTTCTTTGATTTAACGAAATTGTTTTTCTTCTTAATACTTTGCTCAGCTTTTGGAAGGCATTTTTCGCTACCCCAATGCAATTTCAAATTTTAATGTGTTAAACATAATCATCTTATTTCTATTTTGTATTCCATCATGTGCTAGTCCAGGCAAGTTTTAGTAGATATTCTTTGAAACTACTTGAAAGTTTAGCTCTGTGGAAAAAATGGCATCTCAGAAGCTGATTTTCAAGGCCAGGCTAAGTTCTAAGCCGACGGAATAGTCGAGGCTTTTATTTTTTCCCACTTGATTATATACTGGGTTGACTCCTGAAAGACTGACGCAACACAATCTTCCTATATTTTCCGTATCTAAGCTTATCAAAAATCCATCGCTGTTGTTGTTGTTGTGGTTGCGGTTGTTTTTCTTGTTTTCAATTTCTATTTTCTTAATCTACGTTTCAAACGGACGAGTTTCTTCCGAATGCAAAGCCACGAGGGGAAAAGAAAAAAAACAAAAAAAAAAAAACAACGGTAAGCATAAAAGATGCGGGAAAGAGTCGGAAGAAGGCAAATGTATAAATAATGAAAGCAACTCTGCCACGTTGAAGATTTTAAAGTTAAAAGACGAGAAGAACGGCAAAACACACACAAAAAACAAAAACAACAAAACAAAAAAAAAACAGATAAAAGAGAAAAGAAGAAAAAGGGATTTTTGTCCTTCGTGATAGAATCAGATGTTGATTATTTTGTGCAGAAAGAAAAAAAATCAATCGGTTAAAATAAAAGGTTTTGAACCAAAAATAAATATTGACATAAAATCGGAATCGGGACAAATATTCGTAGAAAGAAAGAACGAAACAAAAGAAAGAAAGAAACAAACAAACAAACAAACAAAGAAACAAAGAAACAAAGAAAGAAATTATAAAATTGAAAAAAAAGAGAGAAATCAGAAGCTGAAAAAAAGAAATTAAAAGAAAGAAGATGAGAAAAGAAAATGAAAAATGATGGAGAAACAAGGAGAGAAAGAAAGAAAGAAAGAAAGAAACATTATAAAATTGAAAAAAAAAGAGAGAAAACAAAAGTTGAGAAATACAAATGAAAAGAAAGAAGATGAGAAAAGAAATGAAAATGAAAATCGATAGAAAAAGAAAGCAAGTAAGCGAAAGAAAGAAAGAAAGAAAGAAAGAAAGAAAGAAAGAAAGAAAGAACGAACGAAAGATAGAAAGAAGAAGGTTACGAAAAGAGAAAAAATTAGATTTGAGAAGAACGGGAAAAATGAATGCTATCGAAAACGGAAAGAAAGAAAGAAACATTAAATTTGACGGAAAAGGAAAAAAAATAAAGAATGAAGATCAGAAAAGAAACAATTGAATGATAACTGAAATAAAGCAAAAAGTCAAAAGAAAAAAAACTAGCAAAATATAGCAAATTTACCAAGAAAAAAGGGAAGCAGTCTGGAAACTAAGAAATAATTTGAAGAAAAATGGAAATATGAACGAAGAGAAGAATGGTAAAAAAAAAAATGATAATAAATAAAACAGTTTAAAAGAAGAAATAAAATACGCGACATCGGAAAAGATAGAAGTCTTAAGAGAGGAGGGGAAGATGAAGCATAGATTAAACAATTGAAAATCAAAACTGACGGTAAAAAAAAAGAAAAGTCATGAAAAGAGGAAAAAATCAAGAGACCAAGAAACACAGTGATACATAGGAAGGGTGTATAATATAGATAAGGACAAGATTAGACGAGAGAGAGACAAAAAGATGGCGACGAAAAGAAAATGAAAAGCGGGTAAAGATAGAAAAGGAGGAAATAAAAAAAAATGTAAGAAAATCACGATTTATCTGAAAAGATAAAACAGAAAGCAAAAAAACTAATAAACCAATATTGTTGGAAAGAAGAATTTAGTGATAAGTGAATGAGTTTTTGGCAACGAAGGTAGAAAAACACTTGAGAGAAGAAACTTAAAATTTATTGACAGACGACAAGAAGAAAATTTTTCCTTTCTTCATTTTTCTATCGGAAAAGATGCCATTCAGAGTGAGTTAAGAAGAGAATTTATTAACTTGGGACAGAAGATAGAGAAGCTGGAAGGAACAGACGATAAACAAAGTCAGAAAATGAATTATCTGAGAAAATAAGGAAGAAGGAAAGTTTTTTTCTGAACGGAGGTGAATCTTTAAAATTTGATTTGACGACTTGCTGAATAAAAAGAAAATATAAAGTAAAATTGTTTTTATAACTTCTCAGACAAACTCTTCATTATATTTTTTATTGTTATATTCAATTTTATTGCTATTAAGACCGAGTTTAAATAAACACCGAATTAAGCGGGCCATTATGTACTGAAATCCAGATATGAAGTAATTTGAGGATTCCAATATCATATTCATATTTTTAGAGTTCTAAGATTAAGTATTTTATTATTTAATAGATCATTCGAATTATTGTCTCCATATTTTTTCAAGGCGTCAGGAAATAAAGTTTCATTATTTCATGTTTTATTATATCTTTCATCTTTGTTTTTTTCTAAAGATGGAGAAGTAGTTCCATGATTTATGGCATTCTGTGATGAAGCTTTTTCATTATTCCATATATGATTCGGATTATTGCTTTCCACACTCTTGTCTTCTAACCTTTTTATTATTCCTTTCCGAATTTTTAAAGTTGTAATTGTCAATGTTTCGTATTTGTAACTGTCTGTCTCTCTACTAAGACCATGTTCTTTGACACTTCCTCCAGCGAGAGAAAAAAACAAAAAAAATTGCTATTGCTCTAGGGTTGCAGGCAGTGCAGTCTTAAATTATCGTTTCCATTTTAATTCGAGGAATTTACTTTATTTGCAAGGTTAGCTAAATATTTTATTTGTTAAAAGCATTTGAAACAACATTTTCTTAATGGTGTTATTTGTATATATTTTTAATTTCCTTCTCTATGTGAAAATACTTCTTTCAAAATTCCCTGGATTTCATGGGCCCATGAGACAGAAACTAATTACCTTTATGCTCCTCTTTATGTCATGTCCTTCCATAATATGGATGATCATTATTCTTCTTAACTTTCAATCTTTTGTCACTTTGAGTAACAATTAATTTTTTACAATTTTTTTTATCCATTTTTAACCATCCCCAGTAAAATTCGTTAACTCAGTTACTCGTTGTTTTCCAATTCTTTACCTTCGTCTCCATGTGAGTGTTAAATTCTCAAGACCCTCTTTCCTCATTATGTATTCTAGCAATTCCAGTTGTTGCTTCGTGTTTGGTAGCAGCAGTTCTCAACAAAACCTCGTTACTTACATGCCATGTCCATTAAGACATCTCTGTCGCTTCTTTTCTTTCACTTCTTTTCTTTCACTTCTTTTAATCGATATATTTTTCGTTTTGGCAACCATTTTGTAAGTTTCATTTTAACTTTATTTTTTAAACTTATTTTTAAGCGTATTTTTATCTTGCTTTTAAACTTATTTTTAAGCTTATTTTGTGTTATATTTTTCATTTTTTTAAACTTATTTTATTATTTTTAAACATTTTATGCTTACTTTTAAACTTATTTTAAAACTTATTTTTAAGCTTATTTTATGCTTACTTTTAAACTTATTTTATATATATATATTTTATATATATATATATTATTTTTTAATTATTTAAAAAAGATTTGGCTTTTTTCAATTGAGGTAATTTTTTTATTCTATAGCTTTTGAATAATATTGTTTTTACTTAAAATTTTCACCTTGCACTCCATTTTACGTTAAATAATACGTTAAATAACGGTTATCAACACGTTAAGACGGAAGGTATTATAATAATATTAAACATATATTCTATATATAAATATATATATATATATATATATTTGGTTTTTTCAAAATAAGTTGGTACAGGTTTCTGTTTTAAAACATAAGTCGACAGGTCGGCATAAAGTATAAAAAACAGCAACTTTAAGATGCAGAGATCCTAACAATTAGAAACAGTCGGGTAAAAAATCGACAAAATGAAAGTTGACATCAGCGAACTTATTAGGCACGGGAAAGTAACGATTAATTCACGAGGAAGAAAAATACATAAATTATTCAGTAATATCCTAGCCTTATCTGTGGGGAATGTATTTTCAAAAATTGGTTGTACCAATTGCCGGACATTTATACGGAGAGGAATCTTATTCTTAATAGTTCTGTTTTAAAATAATTTTTGCAACAAAACACTTAAGTTTTATTATATATCTACATATCTAATTAAAAGTGTCTATAAATTAATTGGAAGAAAAATATTTATGAATTAAGGAAAAAAGTGTTTGAAAATCCCTGAGTCAGATTATATAAATTACCGAGAGGAGATTTAATTTGGCCAGTCGATAAGGTACGTTGGAAACAGGTTGTTTGAAATGGTATCTGCCTATATTATCTCGAGTCAATTTTTAGAATCATTTTTACTTCAAGCAAGGATGGACCTAAAATGACTTTTGAACACAGGATTAAGACAGTAGATTTCGATTGATGTTGCATTTAAATTTTTGAAGACTGTAGTTATCAGCGAAGGAAATAATCGGCAGGTATGTTCTAAGCTATTAACGAATTTGCATTCTAGTTAAACCGTGAGATCTATTGCCAATCCAGCAGCATGCCTAAGTTGAAGTCGGGAAAAAAGCTTAGCCATGAAAATATTTGTAGAAAAAGTCAGAAGGAATCTCAGTAAAAGTTGAAGGGATGACTTGGGTTAAAATAGTGACTTTTGAATTTGGTCTTTTGTTTGGTTTTCAAATCATAAGTTGTTCGTCAATGCATTGAATATTGCCGCAGCATTCTGTCTGAAGGTTATGCCATGTCTCTAGAAATTCTTACCATGTCTCTAGAAATTCTTGACTAAATCGAAAGAAGCATCTTCGACACTTTCAATAAAATTAGGAAACCTAGCTGCAAATCTTAGACTTCATTTAAATTCAGGAACTGGAGGTACCAAAGAAGAATGCGCATCTGGACAATTGCCATGAAAATATTTATAAAAAGTCACAGGTAAAAATATGTTAAGTCAGGATTGAGAATATTGTAGATTCTTCTTTGGATTTCGTCAAGAACCTCGAGATATATAGCAGTAGAATTAATCTGAATTTTTCCTGCTTTAATGGTACTCGTAGTATTAGTAGTAAAAATCTTATCTTGAATCTTCATTATTAGATGAAGCATTGTTAGCCATTATTAATTTTATATTTGTAACTTACGTCTTAGTTTTAATTACTTTTTTAAGTTAGTAGAATTGGTAGGAGTAATGTTATCTTGAATTTTTATTTGATGAAATGCTGTTAATCATTATTCACGAATAAATTTAAGTTCAAAGCGGTTCATGAGCATGATATCACGTTAATATCCTTTATAAAAATGAAAACAAAACCTTATCTGTGCCTCGATCCTCGTTGCCGTGAATGTCTTGTTTAAGTAGCCCACTCTCGCCTCTCATGTGTCTATTTTCAAAACCATTGGTTTGTAACCAATTCGATTCCGCCCCCTCCTTCCGGGGCCACAAGATACTCGCGTTGTGGTCCAATGTTTTGAAAATATCGTGCGACGTGCCCCAGTCTGTGGGGATATTCCTATTCGATCACCTTCTGCTACGACGCAAACCTCCAGTTGGGTCATCCCTCCATGTTTTAAAAATAATTTTTCGCAACAAAACCATTCTCCCGTATTTCGGGCCCTTTGGGTTGTCTATATCTATTCCTGGGGGCACCTATCTAATTAAAAGGAATCTGTCTATAAATTAATTGCCGGTTACCCAAGAAAAAACTTGGTTCTTTATCTGAATTAAGGAAAAAAGTGTTTTTTGCCAAAATCCTCTCCAGCGTTTGTGGATTCGATATCGGTCCTGGAGCACTATATAAATTCACGCGACCGTAGAGCATTTAATTTCTCGTACCGGGGTGTTGCCAGTCAGTCGACCTAAAGCCTGGTCATGAGAGCGAAAAAAAAATCCTTTTAGCCGTTTTAACTGCTAGTTCTGGTTGCTTTGAGGGTAAACCGAGATGTTCGTTTCCTTAAAAATCTTTAAAATGGTGGAAAAGTTCCTCCGGTAATACGCAGCCATTTCTGGGCTATATTATCTCCCGGACGACATCAATTTTAGGTGTATCTATCTGCATTTTAGTTCTTCCTCGTAAATCTTCAAATGGGAACTCAATGGATGGACCGGGCCCGGGTTTGAAAATGAAAACAGCCGCTGTCTGGCCAGCGTTTGCCAACATTCCATTGACGCCCTGATGCGCTGAAAGGGGTATGAGATTGGATAATCCTCTTTCAATGGAACAGGATTCAGGAAGGGAACA